CGCGCGCCCCCCCCCCCGCCCGCCCCGCCGCCATCTACACGAACCCCGTGAAGTCGTCCACCGAGGAGATCAGCCGCTTCCTCTGCCCCGTCTCGTAGGTGGGCGGAGGGTCCTGAGGGAGCTGGGGAGGGGGCTTCGTCGGGGCAGACGGATGCAGCTGCAGGGGAAGGCCAGGAGTCTGGTACTGGGTTTCTTCACGCAGCTGAAAGCCAAACGAGCACAGGTCAGCCCCTGTCTCTCTGCAGCGCTTTTCGCTCTCGGTCTGGGCAGGGTAGGACCGGTTACCCAGGACGGCTCGAGCCACCCCGAGCACAGCGCCGAGCGGCTGCAGCTCCGTGTCCAGGTAGCAGCGTTCCCAAACCCCTCCCGCCAGGGAAGCTGTTGGGAAGCTCCCGAGTCCAGACCGACATCGCTACGCTTGCTGTTCCCACAAGAGCTGGGCTCTGACCTTCACACACGTACTCCTCCTCTCCCTCGGCAAGGCCGGACAGCTGGTTCCACCTGCCTTATTTGTAAGGAGATTCTGAAGGCAGAGCCCAGCGCCGAGCCCCCAGAGCGGACAGCTTTACTCACCCGGTGCCTCAGCCTCTTGATGTGGCGCAGCCTCGCGATCCACTTGGAGGGGTAGGTGTCCGTCGGGTTTGATCGACTGTGATGAACCTGGGAAGCCATCTGGTGTGGGAAGGGTGGGGAGAAGCAGGGAAAGCGAGGAGGCACGTTAACATGACCAGGGCAGTGACATTGCTGGAACGCTTCAGCACAGTTTGACAGCAACCGAAATACAACTCCACGTTACAACTGTCCACGTGCTAACTCTGACTTCAGGGCTGGCAGCAATAATCGAAGCAGAAAGCTGACCTGCTTTGGCAAGCCCTACTCCTTTCCTCGGAAGCTGGTGACGGACCAAGACACCAGCTGACAGACAGAGGCCCTCTGGGAGCTCGGGGGTACTCACGTTAGCGTGCAGGGCCATCTGACGGGCTACGAACGGCAGGTTCTTATCGGAGATGATCTTGGCGACACTCGTGTCTACGAGACCCTCCATGTCTTCATTTTAAAGGAAGAAGAAAAAAATTCTTGTGAGACAGTTAACAAGCCAGAAGTCACCAGTAACTGAAAAGGTAAGTAGCTACCAAATGAGGAACTGCACCACAGAATCTCCAAAGTTCCCATCGAGCTCTACAGCTCCAGCTGCAACAGAACTTGCCCTGCAGCTTAACACGACTGGCTCTCAACATCGGGCTGCTCCGTCAGGGGCTCGTTCTCACATCAACCACAGCACAGGTCTACGAGGATGAGGAGGGGACTGGAGCATCTCTCCTGTGAGGAGAGGCTGAGGGAGCTGGGCTTGTTCAGCCTGGAGAAGAGAAGGCTGAGAGGGGACCTTAGAAATGCCTCTAAATATCTGCAGGGTGGGGGTCAGGAGGATGGGGCCAGACTCTTTCCAGTGGTGCCCAGTGACAGGACAAGGGGCAACTGGCACAAACTGAAGCAGAGGAAGCTCCAGCTGAACCCGAGGAAGAACTTCTTCCCTCTGAGGGTGACAGAGCCCTGGCCCAGGCTGCCCAGGGAGGCTGTGGAGTCTCCTTCTCTGCAGATATTCCAGCCCCCCTGGACGCGGTGCTGTGCAGCCTGCTCTGGGTGACCCTGCTTGGGCAGGGGGTTGG